CAAAAAAAAAAAAAGTCCTGTGGCCCAAAAAAGACTCAGACCATAGGTTCTTCCGCAGGCTGGGATGTAGGGTTTACCACCTCCCTGTGCCCTCTTTTCCCCTCCCTCGACAAAGGCCTCGTCCGGCAACATTGCAACTTCGCCAGAATGATGCCTCGCAGCTGGCGCCCAGCCTTTGTGGGACTCGTAGTTTATGCACAGGTTCGGTTTCATTAAGAGTTCCAATAAGCAGCTGTTTAGTGAGCACTTAGTTTGTGCTAGCCAACATACTAAGGGTTTTATGTATTGTCTTAATTTTTTGAGTTGGAGTCTCACTCCGTCATCGCTCTGGCGATCCTTCCGCTTAAGCCTTCCAAGTAGCCAGAACTACAGGCATATGCTACCATGCCCGGCAAATTTTTTAGTTTATTGTAGAGTCGAGGTTTCGCCAAGTTGCCTGGGCTGGTCTCGAACCCTCGTGCTCCCAAAGTACTGGGATTGCAGACTGAGCCACCCAGCCTGGCCGTGTTATTTTTAAAAGGCTTTCAACGTTTGACATAGGTGTTAACATTTCATTTATAGATGAATTTATATTATTTGTTCTTATTCATTTACAGGTGAATCTATTAGGCCAACGTATGTTGCAGAGCCAACAAATCCAGGCCTACCAGACTCCAGATCGAGCACTTATACTTTACTGTCCCAATAAATTGCTTTTGCATTTTAGTTTCTTACAAGAATTTTTAATTGGGCACGGTGGCTCACACCTGTAATCCCAGCAATTTGTGAGGCAGAGGCAAGAGGATTTCCTGACCCCATGGGTTCGAAACGAGCCTAGGCAACATGGCAAGACCTCCTCTCTCAAATCAAAAAAATTAACCGGGTGAGGTGGCGCATGCCTGTGGTCCCAGTTACTTGGAAGGCTGAGGCGGAAGGATCGCCTGAGCCCAGCAGGTCCAGGCTGTGGTGACTGAGCGTGCCACTGCACTCCAGCCTTGGCAACAGAGTTGAGACTCCAACTCATAAAAAGAAAAAGCCGACATAGAGATTAACTGCCCCAGATCTTGTAAGTAGTATAGTAGTTAGCATTTGGACCCACTCTGCCCAACACCAACATCTATCCTTTTTTTTTTTTTTTTGAGTTGGAGTCACTCTGTTGCCCAGACTGGAATGCAGTGGAATGCTCACAGCCACTCAGGTGATCCTTCCACCTCAGTCTTCCAAGTAACTGGAACTACAGGCACACCGACTAATTTTTTGATTTATTATGGAGATGAGGTCTCACCAAGTTGCCTGGGCTGGTCTCAAACCTGTGGGCTCAGGCAATCCTCTCAACTTGGCCTCCCAAAGTGCTGGTATTATAGGCATGAGCCACCAAGCCCAGCCAACGTCTATCCCTTTTAACCACTGGATTACATTATCTCTTGTAGTAGTAAGTGTTGAATGAATAAACTCATTTGTCACTGATCATTGCCAGGGTTTGTACCTGTTGTTTCTCAGTTACAACTTACAGAGTGCAATCCACTGTGCTCTGGGACCTGGATCATATCTGTTCTAAAGCACTTACCTTTAGCACTTATCTTAAAGACTTTTTGCAATGATTTGTTTACACAGCTAGTTTTCCCTATGCTGACTTCAAGGTCAAGGACTGTGCCTTACTCTTTTTTAGGTCCCCAGAGATTAGCCATTTCCTAGGAAACAGCTAGGACTCAAAAACAGTTTCCTAAGTGAATGAATGAAAAATCTAATCAAGCTACCACTCTTCAATGCTGCACAATACAATGGATATCCAGCTTAGATGTGGGTTGAAAAACCACAGGCTTCTACCTGTAGGGTTCAGCTCTCAACTCCTGAGTGATCCTGGACATGCCAGGAGGTACTGTGGGGTAGTTGCATCCAGGAGAGGGGGAGGAAGTCCCAAACACTAAGTAATCCAGGTTTGGGTTGGAAAACAAGGCTGAAGTTACTCATTAGCAGGTGAAAGGGTCAAGGGTCGAGGCAGGGGGGCTGGAAGCAGTGTGGACTGAGCAGCAAGTAGGGGAGAGAGCAGTTAAGGCACCAGTCATCCCACGCAGAGCACCAGTTCCCTCCTGCAAGAAGATGTTCCACCACATTTGGGCAGCTCTGCTCTACCTCTATGGTATTCTTAACTCCATCTACCAGTGCCCTGAACACAGTCAACTGACAACTCTGGGAGTGGATGGGAAGGAGGTATGGACTGAGAACTGGGGGAACCTATGGTGGAGGCTCTGAGGGATTTGGGTGGTTGGCCTAGAATGACTGGAAGCTATTCTGGGAAAGGAAAGGAGGAAGAAGTTATGAGTGTTTTGATGTTGAAAAGATGAAGAAAAATGTCAGTACTGTGGCCATCAATGTGGAGACATGCATAACTGTGGAGTGAGGGCAACCCCTTTGGGTCCCCTCCCAATGTAGAAGCTTTTTTTTGTCCTCTCAATAAATTATGCTTTCTAAAAAAAAAAAATGGGGGAGTGGGGTGTTTACCCAGATTGACTGGGGAGAGGTAAAGAGAAAAAGTCCTTGTAATGGGTCCATGGAAATAGAAAGGCAACCAACACCTCCATCCTTGTCTTGATGTCTTGACTGATAAAAGAAGTTGGATGGATCCTGTGCTGGGACCCACCCTCTTTTGCTCCCCTCATTCTCTATAGTTTCCAGAGCCCCATCTGGGCCAGTGGTACTTTATCGCGGGGGCAGCTCCCACTAAGAAGGAATTGGCGACTTTTGACCCTGTGGACAACATAGTCTTCAACATGGCAGCTGGCTCTGTAGACAACATAGTCTTCAACATGGCAGCTGGCTCTACCTCGATGCAGCTCTATCTTCGTGCTACCATCCGCACGTGAGTGATGAGGTAGCAGAAGCACTAGTAGGTGCAGTCTTTGCCTAAAGTGTGAGCACTCAGCCGGGCATGGTGACTCACACCTGTAATCCCAACACTTTGAGAGGAAGAGGCAAGAGGATTGCCTGAGTCCAGGCATTCGAGACCAGCCTAGGCAACTTGGCGAGAGCTTGTCTCTACAACAAATTTTTTAAAAAATTATCCAAGCCGGGCTCGGTGGCTTAGCCTGTATCCCGTTGAGGTAAGTGGATTGCCTGAGCCCACGGGTTCGAGACCCACCTGGGCAACTTGGTGAGA